ATGGAACAGATGAGAACTGACATTGCCACCTAACACTGGTTGTGTGGTGTGGATTCCAACAAACTTCATGGTCCAATTCAAAATTCTGGCTTCAGTCTATAAAGTCTGACCTTGCTTCACTCTCAGATATCTTCAGAACCAGTAGAGTCATACAAGTTTAATAAATTATAGTTGGTTGCACAGTCAGCCAGATGTTTAGACTGGAATTGGCATTTTTATCCACCTATGAAGTCCTTTCCAAGGACCTGGGATAGGCAGATGTTGTTTGGTGGTATTAAAGATATCATCGCAGGATGGAAGCTGTTCCAGGTAAAGCTGCCTTTTGCAATTGACTGATGGTGATTTTGCCAATGCCGATAGTGTTCAAGTGGTGCTCCAGATGAAAATGATGGTGATGATGATTCACCTATCTGAAATCCTTTCCCCTTTCAATAGAAAAAGTCCTCTTTGCTCAACCTCGGACGGGATATGTAAGGGTCTCCGTCATTCAAGTGAAGATAGATAAATAACTATTTTGGTTAATGACCAGCTTGAAACAAGGTATAAGAAGGTTCAGCCATAGAGAAATAAGCTACTTAAGTGTAAATAAAATAATGCAGTCTTGTGCTCTATTAAGACTAAAACGTTTATGAGTGGTGGAGGCAACGGTACTCAGAGTAGCTCCATCTGGAATAATCTTCTCATGAAGGGGAAGGGAAATGCCTACTCTATCTTTGTTCAGGAAGTCTGCCAAAATGGTGCCATTTGAGAGAGCATTTGGGCCATGATGGTTGCCACTGAGATTAAATGCAAGGGATGGGAGTTTTATTTGTATCTTATTGTTTGATTATTATTGTGAACTGTGAGGAATTACAATGATATGCAAATATCTATAATATCACAAATGTCTGTAATGTCATTCTGACATGAAGGATGATCCAATAAGGCACTGTCGTTTTTGAATAAGGGATGAATACAAACAGAGCCCAAGCAATTCTATACCTTTGCTTCAGAGACAACTCTCAGACTGAGCATTAGAGACACATCTATGCCATGACATAACACCACACCTGATGGGCAGACTTAATCTTCTGTCCAACCAGGATGATGTGACTGGAGAAAACAATAAAGGCTGGTTAATTTTATATCATTCTTGCTCCAAAGAATAGCAGAGAATCAACCTTCCCCTAATCTCTGACAATTCTTTGATTATGCTTCTGTCTTTGACTTGTATCTGTTCAACCTGATTGTCACCAGCTTGGCTTTGTGTACAGTTCGGCCTCTGGTCCTCATTTGTTTAAGCCAGTGTCCGACTTCCAGCTTTAATTTGTCCTCAACTAGAGATTCAGCTCGGATAGCCCAAGCAGCTTTTTTTTTTTAACCTATCATCCGAATGAAGGATTTTCCCCTCTCCCAAGCATGTGTAAGATCAGCATTTATTTAATGCCTACCTACTCAATTTTAACTTTCATGAGCAGTGAAATTATGGGGCACAAAATAGGGGTGTCCTCAGAAGCAGTCAGAAAATTTGAGACAAAGACGTTGCAGTATATCATGCCAAAAGTAATCTTGCAAATACTGTCAGAGAAGCAAATACACACCCATAAAAGGCAACTGCCTCTCTTGATATCTTTCTGTGTTCCGGTATGCTTTGCTTTGCCAGATGCTCTTCTTTTTAAAGAGGTGGATTTTTCTTATCATAAAACATTTTATTACTCCCAAGATCCAGGAGCAAAAGAAAAAAAAAAAGGACTTAGCTAGATTCACTTCATTTTTTAAAACTTTAATCCATGTAGGCTGGGGAAATTAAAGTTGAAATTGGTACTATTTATTCTACTTTTTGGCTCTTCTTACAATTACTCCAAGTTGGCACGCTGGCCAAAAGAAAACAAGGCTGGCCTAAAAGTCCAAGCATCGTTTTTGGAGTAGAAAATATGCACATTCCAATACACATAACATGTCCCATACTTAACAGGTTGGGTTGATACATGTTAAACTGAATAGTGGTTTATGTGGGTTTGGTTTTGCTTGATGTGAATCCAGCCAACTGTGGATAATTCTACTAACCATGTGTGAAATGTTCAGTCATGCTGTTGAGAGTTACATCCTCCCTTCACAACTGGAATGATTAAGGATGAATGTCACTAAGGGAGGGTGATGGGCAGGGTCCTCCACTTAAATCTCAAAGATGGTCAAGAAATTAGAAGGCAGGAGAATCTGGACAGCAGCAAATGAAAAAGCAACTCTTATCAGAACAGGGGGACTGACAAGAACTGATGGAAAAAGTGGGCTGCAGAGAACTTCATGAAGCCAAACCACAAGGTCCACAACTTCTGTAGGCTCAGCATCCAGACCAAGCTTTGTAAGGGTCACATTTAAAAGTGGGTAGGGCTGAAACCCATTTTGAGAGGGGGGGTACAGAGATTTAAGGGATACAGTAAATGCCTGAAACATCAGCAAGGCTTCAGGTGCCCATTTTAACTTTTAAACTTCCCTTAATCTTCTGGAATGGATGGCCTTGAGTACACTGGGCACGAAGGAATTTGTGCAGGCTTCTTAATTCCCTTGAAGGGCCTTATGAAAATGATATACTGCAGTGTTTCTCAACTTTGGCCACTTAAAGAAGTGGGGACTGCAACTCCCAGAATTCCCCAGCCAGCATGGCTGGCTGGGG